CCCTGCATCCCCCCTCTTGCCTGCTGGCAGATCTGGCCCACCCTGGTGCTGGCCAAACTGTCCTGTGCGCAGAAGGGACGGCCTGGTGTCCTGCCATTACCACCTGGCCCTTCGTGGCCTGCCAGCCCCTACCCAATGGTGCCGAGCTTGGTGTCTGGGATGCTGGCCTTGGCACCAGCCATGCAGCGAGTGCTTTACCCAGGCTCTTGGTCACCTATCCTCATTGTCCCCAACTGGAATATGGGTGGTGCCTGAACACATCCTGGCAGTAGGCAGATCCTCCCCACTGAGATCTCCTGAGCACCACAGCTGACATGGGTTTCTTCCCTTCCACACTGGAAACCAGAAAGCAGAGGTCATAAAGTGCAGTGCCAGTCTTATAGTGCCTCCAGAGTAGAATCTGCCCACGGCCTCTCCCAGTGTCTGCGGTCCCAGGTGGTCCTTGGCAACCCTTGGCAGGGGACACATCACTGTCTCTGCGCAGTTTTCATGTGGCCTTTCTATCTCCTCCCTGCCTCTTCTCTCTGAGAGACGTAGGTCACAGGGTTTAGAGCCCACCCTGATCCTGAATCATCTCATCTTGAGATCTTTTTCCGTCTGCAAAGACCCTTTCCCTAAATAAGGTCACGATGGGTGGACATATCTGGAGACCACCATCCAGCCCACTCCACAAAGCTGGCAGGCAGCAGAGATGGGGCTCAGCCCAGGTGGGTACCCTGGCCCTCCATGGGGTGGGCAGCCCCTGAGAGGATGGTCAGGTCCTTGACTGGAATACCAGGCAGGGAAAAAAATAGTCTAGGCCTGCCATTGCCCTTGAGGAATCCTGGGCACCCTGTCTTTTGTGCCTCAGTTTCCCTGCCTGTGGCAGAGGAACTTGGAAAGTACCCAGGCTCTGGGACCCCTCCCACCACCCCAAGACCTTGGGAAGTAGGTTGTCCTGAGACCTCCCCCCTCACCGCCCCACATTCGAGCTGGGGCAATCACAGCCATCAGGCCCTCCTACAACTGACCCCCCCCTGGAGCCAGAGACCACCCCAAGATAAAGGGCTGGGGGCCTGGAGGGGGTGGCTGAGATCCACCTGGCATAGAGGGTTGACCAGCAAGCGTGCACAGGGCACACGCACTGTGGAACCTGCACCTTCCCTCCAGGACCCAAGACAGCACCCAGCTATCCTCCCAGTCACCATCCAGGCCTGTGCTTGCTGTTCCCTGCTCCCTGCTGTCCCTTGTCCCTTCTGTTCCCTGTCCCTTGCTCCTCCCTATTTCCTGCCCCTTGCTCCTCCATGTCTGCAGTGTCCCCAGCACACAGCTGGTCCTCGGAAGCCGTGCTCGATCAGGGAATGAATGAAGGAAAAGGTGCAGGGGTGTGGCCAAGCCTCGTGGTTCTGTGCACACGGTCACCTCTGGGACTCAGCACCTTCCCTGTAGAGTGGGCTTCTTATAGCATCTGGGAGAGTAAGGAGACTGAGGCCATAATCATGGGAAGGGGAGGGGCCAGTGGCCTCTCTGGATGGACTGAAGGATGGGAGAGGGTTGGGGGGTCTGATGGAAGCCACCTGGTGACCACAGGACCTCAGCCCAGGGTGACTTGGGGGGGGTGGCCAGCTCCCCACCAAAGTGGGCCCTATCTCCCCTACCCAGGTGGCTTCATTGATGCCCAGTGAGGTTTGGGAACAGCCTCAGATACAGCTGTCACAGCGGATGCAGTGCAGATAGGATTTCTGATGGTTATCACCCTACAGAGTTGAGACACTGACCTCTTTGTTGGGGGAACAGGAGGATTCTTAGATCCATGGGAGAATTTAAAGTGGCCACCCTCATCCCAGGCTGGGTGGAGCTGGCCAGGGAACCAGGAAGGAGGGACGATGACTCCAAAGGACAGCGAGCGGGGTAGACTCCAGGGCCCTTCGCCAACCCTGGACACACCTATCCAGGACAAGTGGGGCCCTGGCTGGGCACCAAGCCCAGGGAGGAAGGTGACCACAGCTTCATGTCTTCCATTGTCTGGGCAAAAGGGCCAAGATGGGAAATGAAAAATAGACCCCTCCCAGGCCTCCCCCCCGCCCCCATACCTCACAGGGCAGGATCAGGAGGAGCCTCAGCCAGTGTCTTCAATGCTAGAGAAGGGGGCTTTGGTCCCTAGCTGCTTAGAAGCAGGGGAAAAGAAGATGAGAAAAGAAAATAAAAGAATTGGGGTGCCCCACATGGTACCAGCTCTCCCCAGGGAAGCAGATGCTCATCCACATCCTCTGACCCTGGCTGCTGTTGCTGCCAGCGTGGGTGAGAGGGTGGCTCCAGGCAGATGTGGGGGTCTGCTGCCTGGGTGGACAGGCCAGGCCATGCTTCCTCCCTGCGGGACCATGGGCAAACTAGCAGGAAGGCAGGGGACACTGGCAGGAAGGCAGGGGACACTGGCTTCCTCATACAAGTGGGTTGACAGGTCCCACTCAGAAGGGCGAGGGGTCCATGGGAGGAAGGCCAGGCTGGTCCAACTTTTGTTTGGGACCTGCTGACCTGGCTGCCTAGGGAGTTGGTGGGTAGCAGCCCACCGGTTCCCTCCTCATCCTGTTCCCGCTCCCCCCCACGCAGACTCCCTACACACAGACACCGTCAGGAACGCGGTGTGGCGCTCCCTGCGCTCAGAGCTCCGCAGAAAGGCCGGGTTGTGCAGCGTCAGCAGAGCTGTGCGTGTTTTTATCATGCCGGGAACATGCTGCGCCCCAGAGCGATAAGCGTTAGCGTGGCCGCGAGGCTGTCAGTCTGAGTTTGAGGGTTTAGAAATATTGGGAGGAATAATTAGATTTCATATCGTTACCGCAGCGCCCATCGGGGATCAGGCAGATTAATTTTCTCACCCTCCTCCACTCATTAATATTCATTAGGGACTCAGGAGGCCAAGGCAAGGAGGGCCAGGCCCAGCTGCCTCACCGAGCCACCCACCCAGGCAGGGCACAGCTGTGCCATAGGAGCCTCTAGTCCCCAACCTGGGAGCCAAGCACTACCTGCCACATTGCCCCCAGTGCCTGCCCCACTGTGACCTCGCAGACACCTTTGCCCCTGTCTCACAGCCTTGGGACTCTGCAGACTGTTCATTAAAACTGGGGACACCTGCTGGCCAAAGGCAGGCTCTTTGGTGGAATGCGTACCCTACATCGGCCCAGAGGTGTCCCCTGTCCACTTCATTCTTCTGGCCAAAGTGGAAGCAAAAGTTTGGTGGCCAACAGCCTGCTTCTCAGCCAGGAAGGCCCTGCTCAGAGGGATTCCCACATGCCCCTATTTCCCAGTGTCATGGGAGGAAGCAATCACAGAGAGACAGAGGTGACCCATCCAGGGCTGGTGGTGGGACAAAGATATGTCCACAGTGAGCAGGGATCCAGGCTCCCCACCATCCTCACAGCAGCTCTGTGCAGAGGGAAGATCACTGGTGGGAAACCAAGGCTGGAATTGTGGGGCTCCCCTCCAGGGCTTGGAGTTCTCTCCTACCCCCCCCCACCGGCTTATCTCTGCTCTCCTGCTCCATTATTGAGCCACGTGGCAGCAGGCAGGTGACGCAGAAGCCACCTGGTTGGGCTGCCTCGACCTTGCCACCAGGAGTTCCCAGCCCGCAAGCCTTATCTTGCTGGCTCTCTGTATGTGCCATGTGGATGAGATCTCAAGGTAGAGGGGTCCCAGTGGGTCTCAGTGGGGAGGCAGAGCCTGGAATGGACCTGGATACCTGGCTGTGGAACCCACTACACACAGTGGCAGCCACATCCGGGAAAGCTAGGTGCCCCCCACTCACCACCCCATCTCCCTCTATGCTGTGGCATTGTCCTTCCTACAGGAATAGTGGCCTCTCTGGGTATCAGCAGGTGACCCTGGGCTTGCAGTTAGAGGGCCTAATACACAAAGTTTTAGTAAAAGGCTTTATTTGAATAAAACAGAGTAAGTAGGCTTATTTAAAAAAAAAAAAAAAAACCCGCTCAAGTGCAGATAAGTACTGCACCTTTCCAAACAGCACCCAGCTGACTGGGTCTGGGAGCCACCACACAGGAGATAAGACTCAGCTTGCTGGAGGGGACTAAAACCCCAGGAAGCAGCAGCCACCCGCCTTCCAGGACAAAGCAGGGCTAGGCTTCTGCCCATCTGCCTACCTACCACACTCTGAGCCCATCCTTCTGTCTTATTCCTGTACAATCGGGGCCCCAGCCGGCCCTTCTCCAGCACCAGGCTGCGTCGGGACAGGGCACATGTGTTTCCTCTGCTATTGGGCTGGAGGCCAGGACACTGGAGCTGCAGGAAATGAGCAGCCTCCGGTCCTGAGAGCCAAGTCCTCTTGCCTTCCAGGCTCAGGCCACGCACACTGCTGAGGAAGAACATGGCACAGCCCTAGACTCAAGCTCTCTCCCCTCCCCTCCCCTCTCCATGTCTCTGTTTCCTTGCCTGTGAGGTGGGAAGACGGGACAGTCTGCTTTCCAGGAGACAGTAGGGCTGTGTGCGTACAGTCTAGAGGGGGTCAGGTGCTTGGGAAGAGAGTGCAGCCAGGAGAGTGAACAGAGATAAAGATGACCCTGTCTTCCTGTGCCTCACCCAGGGAGGGGAGCCCCACTAGGAGAGAGACAAGAAGCCCATCTCTAGGGATTAGCTGCCCGTGGAGGTCATCTGGAAGCATCCAGGGGCCTGGGATGTGGTATGTGCTGCCCCAGCCAGTAGCCCCATTAACAAGGGGTGACAGGCTAAAGGGAACACAGATCTGGCTGCAGCTCAGGCTCTGCTGGCCACTGGCCATGTAACACTGAGCATGTTACTTGACCTCTCTGAGCCTTGGTTTCCACAAGGACCCAGTGCCCAAACTACTCCATTGTGCCTGATGTCAGCTGTCAGGCCACTGATCATCCACAGCACAAAGCACCTGCCGCCTAGCCTGGTCACCACAGGCACAGTGGAGCCTGTCATTCCACTGGGACTGTAGAGAGCTTTCCCTGTGCTGGCTGACCCCACCCTGTCCCTGCTCTCCCTAGGACCCGGCCATGACCCTGCTGCTTGTGGATGAGACCTGCTGGCTGAGGACACTGCCCCTGGCCCTGACCGAGGCTGAAGCCAACTCTGAGATCTACAGGAAGGGTTGGTATCATGTGGTACCTCCCTCCCTGTGGCCTTCCGGAAGGTGGGGGTCACTTGGCTCTGCCTATGTTGGCCCTTAAAGGAAAACCAGCCCGTCCGGGTGTGGAGGCAGGCTGCTCAGGCCGCACCAGCACCCCCATCAATACCCATCAGTGGAGGCAACAGTCCCATCCCGGAAGCTGCAGTCAGAGGCGCATTAGATCCGTTCAGGAAGAGCTGGGGCCTGCTGAGCTACACCCTGCCCACTGGGGCCACAGTGGTTCCTGCCTCTCTTCCTGGGCTCTGGTAGTGATTGCTCTCAGGGCTTCCTGGGGACCACTGTGGGGCAGCAGCAGCGACCTAAAATCCAGGCTGGGTGGCAGGGGTGGTGGACCAGGATTGTGCTTACAATACTGCTCAAACCCAGCTGTGTCCCTCTCTGGCTGTGGGACCTTGGAAAGGCCCTCTCCTTCTGGGGCCTGTGTCTCTGTCTGAAGAACGGCTGGGAAGGGGAGGAAGCGAATGTGACTACTTGCACCTCCTCCACCTTCCAGGAGTTGGGGGTAAGAGTGGCGCCCCCACAGCTCTACACATCCAGAGGGGATGGGTTGCTAGAACCTTCCACAAAGGATATCCTTGGCGTTGGCTTCTGAGCACACCCACAGGAGAGGCAGAGTTACCTGTAGGGTACTCCCATTTCAGGACAGGGACAAAGGCCTTTGGGACCTAGGGGCAGGTTCCTCAGCCAAGCCCTCAATTCCATGAGATCTGGGCTGGTACTTCACCCCTGTGTGCCTCAACTTCCCCATCTGTAAGGCAGAGGACTCAGCCCCACCTGCCCACCAAAGGGTGGTCTAATAATCCAGAGAGAGCAGCCAGAAGGTCTTGCTGTGCTGGGAAATGAAGCGTTCACTACACGGTGGGCTGGGTGTTGGCCGTGAGCGGTCAGCTGTGGGTTTGCATGCCACCCCAGGATGGGTACTGGTTATCACTGCCTGGCCTGCCTCGCCTGCAGGCCTGTGCAAAGGGCCCTGGCCAAGTATGGCCACTCAGGAAGGGCAAGAATCCTTGCGGTGCCAATGCTAACAAGGAGGGTCTGCTCTGGGCAGGACCTGCACTTGGGGAAATCCCCACCAGACACAAGATGTAAGCATGATCCCTGAAGCCCTGGGGGCTGCTATGGGATCCATCTGCCAGCAGAGTCCCCAGTAGAGTACACAGTGGCTATTGTGCCTGTGGGTGTGGTCCAGCTCGGGCTTGAGGCCACTGGTGCCCCTGCCCTGTCTGTGCTTACAGGGACACAAGGCCCCAGAGACTGCTGGCCAGGAGGTAGACTTGCTGGCCCAGTCTGGTCTTGTTGTCCAAGGCTGCCCCCTGCAGGCCACTATGGTAATAGCCACACCTGGCTGGGTTCCAACAAAAAGGTAGCAGAACCCTCCTGCAGCCCCCACCTCAGGTCACCCCTAGCCACTTTTCTGAGGCCAAGTGGCTACTCAGGGTCCCCCTCCAGTTGCTGTCTGCCTATCCCTACCTTTCCTGAAATGAAGCAACCAAGCTCCCTACCCACAGGGTCCTCCCACTGGGAAAGGCACAGGGCAAGGAGGCCCAGGGGACAGGCAGGTAAGGAACCCCCAGCTTTACCCAGAAACAGGACAGCACACCACGTAAATTGGCCAGCCACACCTGTGAACCCCAGTACAGCCACTTTGTGCTATAGGCCTGGTTCCACTTTCACCCCAGGCAGTACTGTGGGACCCCTGGGCCCAGATGGAGACAAAGGAAAGGGACTGCAGTTGGAGGCTCAGCTATTCTGACCCCAGCATCACAGGTGCCTGTACCCCCCAGATGATGCCCTCTGGTGCAGGGTCACCAAGCCGGTGCCTGCGGGTGGACGCCTACGTGTGCTTCTCACGACCGAGTCCCACAGCACCTCCAGCCATCCAGTGAAGGAGCCAGCAGAGCCCGAAAGCCCAGCCCCAGTGCACACCGACATCCAGCTGCTGCCCCAGCAGGCTGGTATGGCATCCATCCTTGCCACAGCGGTCATCAACAGTGAGTACACAGCCACCACCCACCCCAAGGCAAGGCTGCAGGCAGCACATAAGACAGAGCAGCTAGCATGTTCAGGGCCAAAAAACCATTAGGCCTTTGGGCATAACACTGAGCCTAAGAGGGATGGTTCCCAGCTGATGGCCTGGGTGCTGGGAGAGAACAGAGGGGCTTGCCGGGCAGGGAGAGCCCAGTCCCCAGAGTAGCTGGATGTGGGCAGCAGGGGCTAGGGGACACCAGGCTGCAGACAGCATGAGAGGAAGAGAGGGGAGATGTTGACCCTAAGGCAGCAGTGGGAACTGAACCCAGTGCTGGACAGGAGGATCACATGCTGGGAAGAGGCCCTAATAGCAGGCAAACTGGCCTGAGGTCCAGACCTGACTGACCTCCACCCCCACCCCCGTGCCAAGCTGTGGCTTTGCATGCATAGCCCTGGAGTGGACTACCACTTCTCGGAAGCTCAGAGAGTGGCTGTGAGGACTGAGCAAGTCTGCCTCAGCCCACAAATATTCCTTCAGTGTCCACTGTAAGCAAACAGTGCTGACAGCACTGGTCACCAAGGTGGCCTGGCAAGTGGAGACAGCCACTCCAGAGCACACATGGCTTTAGCAAGAGGCAGTGCCCTCACATACTAGCGCTGAGCAAACTACGCTGGAAAGACAATGACCATGTCAAGACCCCTCAGCCACTTGCGACTATCCTGGGCAGCTGGCAGAGCAAGAGGCAAACCTTGGAGATGGCTCCAGACAAGGGGCCCAGGGTTCTTCCCAAAGGAGCAAGATCCTCCCCCTCCCGCCGTGATACACACACACAGACACACACACACACACACACCACCCACACACCACCCACCCACACCACACACACAACACCACACACACACACACCACACACACACACACCACACACACCACACAGACACACACACACACACACCAAACAAAGAAGGGCAGCTGAGAACATGTTGTACCTGGCAGGAGGAGGCCGCAAGCACAGGTCCCATCTGGTTTTGCCTTCTCCTGGGAATAGCTTCAAAATCTGAGGATGGGGCAGGAATGGCCTGTCCTGAGGCAGGAAGGAGTACTACCCACTGGTCCTTGGGGTGCGTGACACCTCACTGTCCAGGGCAGCACAAGTGGGGCAGTGAGTTAATGAGGGTCCCACATCCTCCTGCTGTCCACTTGGGCTGCCTCCTGCTGGGCTGTCCAGCTGCCCCATGGGTGTCTGCAGGGAGCCCCTGCTCAGCCTTCAGAGCCTGTGTCCTCAAGTGGGTGCCCTGATGTCAGTGCTTCATCCGTATGTAGCACTGTCCCAGGAATATGTCATGGTAGGACACCCTGTCACATTTGCAAGCCCTGCCCAGCTCCTCCACAGACCCCAGGGTACAGGCCTCTACCAAGATAGTGGTCTAAGGAGCCATAGGGTTCCAAGGCCCAGGGTTGGCTGGACCCAGGGAAATTCCTGAGCCCGATCCTGGGCCTCTCTCCTTCCCTGTGAACACCAGCCCCGAGGCTTCTATCTGAACTGCACCTGACCAAGGCTTGGTCAGTGGCAGGTAGGCAACCATCTAGCTTGCTCTCAGAGCCACAGCCCCCTCCCCTTGCCCAGCCAGCAGCACAGTTCCCAGCCATGGTCTTGCAGAAACAGAAGAGACCCCCTCCCCCCAGCCTGTGACCTCTCATATCCCAGTCCCAGCTGAGCGGGCACATGCCCCAAATAAACAAAATCCAAGATCAGAAGTGACCAACACAGGAGGAAGATTTGGGCAGAAGCCACCAGAAAAACTGCAAGTACAGAAAGAAGGAAGAGGCCGCCTTCCCCAAATAAACAGATGACTGAATTCCTTAAAAGAGGCAAAAAAGTAGAAACCTGGCAGCCTCAAGAGGTTGGGGAGAGAAACCCACAGCCACCACTGCTCACTGAAACTCAGGGTCAAAGTTGGAGAAGCTGAGCTGAGAATCAAGTATGAAAAGACATGACGTTGGTCTCTAAAGGGAACGGGTCTAAACGCCAGATAAGCAGGCCAGGGCTCCTCGTTCCACAGCAAGATCAAGGGCTCCTCACCCTGCCCATATGCTCCAAGGGCCACTGGCAGCAACACACAGAACATTGCTTACAAGGCCTACAAGAAGACAGAATGAGACACAGCAGGGTCAGGCACACATTAGAGAATTCTCACCAGTAAGAGGAAGACACAGAGACACGAAACAGCCAAACTCCCATAAACTGGAAAAACCCATTTGGATGAATTTGGTGAACTCAGGTATTCTGATTAGTGAGTAACTGGTGTGGAGCTGTCCAGCAGGGCAGGGAGGCCCCTATGCAGTGCCTGGCTGCACACCCCCAGAGTGGCACAGAGCCAGCTTTGCCTGGTGTCCTGTGTGGAGTACCCAGTCTTAACAGGTCCCATGCACGCTCCTCCCAGCCATGACACACACGTCCACTGGCATGTATCCATACCCCTTCCTCCTCCTTCCTCCAGTACCCCATGAGGCCAGGGCATGTCCTGGGTGTGGGGGGTGTCTCTGAGGTGGCAGGCATGGGGGCTCACTGAAATCCCTTCCTTGTGGGATTCCCATGTATCCTGGAAGTCCATTGAAAGAGGAACCAGGTCATCAAAGGGCTGTCAAGAAGTGACTGTTACAGGGAGGGTCAAACCCACTCCTGGGGACAGATAGACATCAGGGTGCGTCAGGGCCCTCACTGCACAGAGGGTTCTGTGCCCTGCTAGATACCCACCCTCAGCCCTCGCCATCTCCCCCAACAGAAGACGTCTTCCCGTGCAAGGACTGCGGGATCTGGTACCGCAGTGAGCGGAACCTGCAAGCCCACCTGCTGTACTACTGCGCCAGCCGTCAGCGTGCTGGCTCCCCGGCCGCAGCCACGGAGGAGAAGCCCAAGGAGACATACCCTAACGAACGCGTCTGCCCCTTCCCCCAGTGCCGCAAAAGCTGCCCCAGCGCCAGCTCCCTGGAAATCCACATGCGTAGTCACAGCGGTGAGCCCCCCACACCCGCTTGTAACCCGCCATGGCTGGCAGTGTGCAGTGCCCACCTCCTCACCCCAACACTATGCACAGACCAGACAGGTGCTCAGGAAAGCACACGCTGCCACCAGGCACCTGTGCGGTCTTCCTGCCACTCCTCACAGATAGCACAGAGTAGGCAGCCCACCTGTGGCTACCTGTACAGTCAGCCAAGGGCTGGGCCCTGGCCAGGGTCCTGGGAGACCAGGGGTCAAAAAGGAGGAGTTAAATGGCTGAATCTAGGACCCCTTCCTGGTCACTGGCATTTGAGGCCAGGCTGAGCCCAGGAGCCAGCCCATCACCACCCTGTGTTCCAGGAGAGCGTCCCTTCGTGTGCCTCATCTGCCTGTCAGCCTTCACTACCAAGGCCAACTGTGAACGTCACCTCAAGGTGCACACGGACACACTGAGTGGTAGGTGGGCTGCAGGGGGTGGAGAGGGTCTGTGGGGCCATGCCTCGGCTCCAGAGCCCTGACCACCACAGCATGGCCCACAGGTGTCTGTCACAACTGTGGCTTCATCTCCACCACAAGGGACATCCTCTACAGCCACCTGGTGACCAACCACATGGTATGCCAGCCAGGCTCTAAGGGTGAGATCTACTCGCCAGGGGCCGGACACCCAGCTGCCAAGCTCCCCCCAGGTGAGCAGACTGCACAGCTGCCCTGCCTGCCCCTGAAGAATGGGGGGGAAGAGGGAGTCGATTTCAGCCTTGCCCCTAAACCCCTCTGCCCACCCCATCCCAGCCTCTACCCAGCCAGGGACTGCCCCAGGCCTGATGTACAGCCCCCTGGTCTCCTTGCAGACAGCCTGGCCAGCTTCCAGCAGCACTCAACCCTTCACGGCCCCCTGGCCTCCCCCGATGTGGGCCTAGCACCCACCCCATCGCCAGGACTGGACAGGAAGGCCCTGACCGAGGCCACCAACGGAGAGACCAGACTGGCCCCCCAGAACGGGGGAGGCAGTGAGCCCCCAACCGCCCCCAGGAGCATCAAGGTGGAGGTGGTGGAGGAGCCTGAATCAGCGCGCGCTCCCGGGCCTGGAGAACCAGGGCCTCAGGCCCCATCGAGGACTCCATCGCCACACAGCCCTGCTCCAGCCAGGGTGAAGGCAGAGCTGTCCAGCCCCACGCCCGGCTCCAGTCCAGGACCCGGAGAGTTGGGCATGGCGGGGGCGCTCTTCCTGCCACAGTACGTGTTCGCACCAGAGGCGGGCGCACCCCCGGGCCCCACTGCGCCGCAGGCCTCGGAAATCCTCGCCAAGATGTCCGAGTTGGTGCACACCCGGCTGCAGCAGGGCCCGGGCGCGGCGGGCGCGCCGGCGGGCCTCTTCGCGGGGACCAAGGGCGCCACGTGCTTCGAGTGCGAGATCACCTTCAACAACGTCAACAACTTCTACGTGCACAAGCGCCTCTACTGCTCCGGCCGCCGCCCGCCGGAGGACGCGCCCGCCACGCGCAGGCCCAAGGTGGCCCCCGGCCTGCCCGCCGAGCCCGACCCGCCGCGCTCGTCGCCGGGCCTCGGTGCGCGCGAGGACGAAGCGGGCGGCGCCGCCACTCCCGAGGCCGAGGCAGCTGGCCGGGCCAGCGAGGGCAGCCAGAGTCCGGGCAGCTCGGTGGACGACGCGGAGGATGACCCCAGCCGCACGCTGTGCGAAGCCTGCAACATCCGCTTCAGCCGCCACGAGACCTACACGGTGCACAAGCGCTACTACTGCGCCTCTCGCCACGACCCGCCGCCGCGCCGGCCGCCGCCGCCGCCGTCCACGCCGGCCCCAGGGCCCGCGCCGCCAGTGCTGTCCGCGCCGCCCGTGCGCACGCGCAGGCGCCGCAAGCTCTACGAGCTGCCCCCGGCCGGCGCCCCGCCCCCGGCTCCCGGCCCCGCCCCTCCCACGGCCGGCCACGCCCCCGCGCCGCCCGGCCCCCCCTCTGCGCCTGAGCTGCCCGCCTCGCCGCGGCCCAGGAGCGGAAGCGGAAGCGTCGGCTCCGCCCCTGCGCGCTCACCTGACCCCGCCCCCGACGGCCCCATCGACCTGAGCAAGCGGCCACGGCGCCAAGGCGCCGACGCACCCGCTGCGCTCCCCGCGCTGACCGACTACCACGAGTGCACCGCGTGCCGCGTGAGCTTCCACAGCCTCGAAGCCTACCTGGCGCACAAGAAGTACTCGTGCCCCGCCGCGCCGCTGCGGGCCGCCGCCCTATGCCCCTACTGCCCGCCGAACGGGCGCGTCCGCGGCGACCTCGTGGAGCACCTGCGCCTGGCGCACGGCCTGCAGGTGGCCAAGCCCGTGGGCGGCCCGGGAGCCGAGCCCCGCACGCCGGCGGAGCGCGCCCCGCGGGACAGCCCCGAAGGCCGCGCGCCACGGTCCCCGTCCCCCGAGGGCGCGCCCCCGGACCCTGCGGGCCAGGGCGCGCGGACGCCCAGCAAGGGCCCTGCCGTCCCCGTCCCGGTGCCCACCCCCGCCCCCGGCAGCGGCCACCGCTACTGCCGCCTGTGCAACATCAGGTTCAGCAGCCTGTCCACCTTCATCGCTCACAAGAAGTACTACTGCTCTTCGCACGCCGCCGAGCACGTGAAGTGAGCCCGCGGGGCGCTCCGACCCTTGGCACTTAATAAAGACGTCGGCGTGACGAGCTCGCTGGCGGGCCGGCCTGTGCTCTGAGCTCGGGGGCCCAGGCGCGGGCGCCACTCGCCATCCTCGACCCAGTGGGCCTCAGTCCGACGCCCTCTCCAGCTCTGCCCAGAGCCCCTGGAGCGAGGACCCAGCCCACACCTCGACCTCAGCCATCGGATGCGGAGCTTGCTCCCAGCCCTGCCACCGCGCCTGACCACAGCCCACTAGGGAGCCCCGGGATGGAGGATGAGGTTCTGCACTTGCCCAGGCTGGGGGCGGGAAGGGGGAGCACGTCCCACAGTGCCCGAGCCAGGAGAGGGGAGCACAATCATCCTGTGGAGGCTGAGTGCTGTGGGGCACGACACCAGCTCTGGTCTGCGCTGTGGGTGTGGTGGGGGCTGCACAGGCCACGGCTGGGCTGAGGCCATACCTGGCTGAACCCAACTGACCACAGTCTGGCCATGACCATGCCTTGCTGCTTTGTAGCTGGACAGCTGTGGATACCTTCAGCCTGTCCCCCGAGAAAACAAACACACCTGTGCTCTTCCAACCCTACCAGTCTCACCCAGCAGCCATGGAGGCCGAAAGTGAACTCGGGAAGTAATGTCAACCTTAGCGCCTGCTGGCCGGTTTCCCTCTCACCCAGTCCTTGAGGGTGATTGACTGATGGGCCTGGGTTTGCACAAGAATAAATGTTCCTCAGCGTCAGTGTTCACACACGTTGCCCATGAGACCACGTTGTCCTGCTTACCAGGGCCTAGCCACAGTTACCACACCCTGGGAAGAGGGATGCCTGGACCCCAGAGGAGTCAGCTGGGGAGAGGGCCCAGAAAGCCAAACTGCCTCTTTGTTACTTTTTCACAAGCCAGCTGGGCTCAGCTCAGCTTCTCAGCCTTCCCTCCAAGCCTACACACACACACTGTTGTCCAGTAGTTTAAACCTAGTACAGTTTTTACCATGTGCACTTTAAAGATGAATTCTTAGCAGGCAATGGTGCACACCTGTAATCCCAGCCGCTCAGGAGAGGAAGGCAGGAGGATCACAAGTTCAGTGCCTGCCTGAGCAAAGGTAGCAGTGAGACCCTGTGTGAAATAGAGTTCTATAAAGCTGTTGGAAACTTCAGGGAGATGGGCTCTGGTGGGCAACAGATGTTCACTTGGAGAAAACTCACAACAGGTTCCAAGATGAGAGAGACAAACCCTCGACCCCCATCCTGCCCCTCAGGCCCCATCACTGTGTGGGAGGAGGAGGCTGTAAGTAGCTAGGGATTACAGAAGGCAGAGCCTATGCTGCACTCATCTTGCTGCCTAGACCTGCCTGTTTCCACACCTGTAAAACCCAGTGGGAGGTACTTGATCCCATGGCCTCTTCTGAGAGCTCAGCTCAAAGACAGGGAGAACCCTGTGACCCCGACCTCCTGAGCACTGTCACTAGGTCCCACCAGAGCCACTGTCCCCACCTCCAGCTGTAGAGAAGAGTGCCATCTTGGGTGTGAGTTTCCCATGTCTCACTCTCCCGTCTCCAAAGTCCCCTTGGGCTTCCCAGTACCTGCCATGTGGCCTCCACCCCACACCTCCCCTGCAGCCACTGTGCCCCGAGACGTGATCAGCACAGGCTTTCGCCCACCTCCCCAGGGAGCCTGGCCCTGCTCCCAGATGCCTTCACACCGGGGCTGCTCTCGGTGAAGATCAGGCTGTTTTCCCTGAGCCTCTCCTTGAAGTTCTCTCACACTTTGGGGGTGGGGGCGCACGAATGCCCTTGAACCTGTCTTTAGTCCAGCCATGCCTCTTCTCAACCCCAGACCTCTAGACATTCCTGCCCCCACACATCACCCAGAGGTTCCCCCAGGACTTGTCCCACACCTGTGCAGATGTCCCCACAGCCTTCCACCATTCATGCTGGTGACCAAGGCACCAGTCCCACCCACCTCACTTTCATGGCAAAGCAATTCTTGATTTCACCAGGACTCATGGCTCCCCATGAGTCTATGAGTTATGTCATGAGCTCCCCACCTGGGACATTGCACCTGGATCTCACTGGTCACTTCACTTCTCCCCGAGCCCCACAGCTCAGCCTCTCAGGAACAGCAGTCATTTCTCCCACCTGGTCCCACCTAGCTCCCTTCCAGCCACTCTACCCTGTGGGATCACAGGTCATTACAAACATCCCCTCGTGGTGAGGGTCACACTGGGTCACCACCTTTTCCCTTCTTGTCCTCTTGCCCCTGGTCAACTGACATGTCACTGAGAGCTGGGACCTCCAGGGCACCGCAGAGAGCACCTGACCCTTGAATTCACTGCCACTAGGCAAACAAGCTACCCTCTCCCCCATGCCCAGCAATCAATCCCCAGTTATGGTTCCAAGGTCAGTCTCCACCTGACCCCTTCTTCATCCTTCTCCTGACTGGTCTGCCTGTGGCCACACCCTCGTCCTGGTCCACCAACTTCACCTCCCTGAGCCAGCTCTGATCAATGTCACCATACCACTCCCACTTGCCGCACTTGTTCACAGCCCACCCACTAAGCACCACCCACTGAGTCCTGTGTACAACCGGTGACCTGGTCACTGCCATGTGTACTCCTGAGCGTCTGGGAGCCTGCGTTTGCTAAGCCGTCCTGGCCTCCCGCCTCCCTCAACAAACTCTTTCTCTCAAGACAGCCTCCAAAGCCACCACTCAGTCTGCCCCCTTCCCAGAGCCCCACAGCAGGGAGAGCCTCCTGCTTCCACCCTCCTTCCTCCCAGCGGGAGGGCACTTGCTCGAAGCCACAGGTCTGCCTTGGCCAGACTGACGGCACCCAGGCAGGATCAAGTCCACCCGTGCCTGTACCTATGCTCCTGAAATTGGCTTGGGAACCTCGAAGCCCTTCGATGGGGCTGGGAGCACCCCACGGATAAGGACGTCAAGCTTCAGGAGGGCCAACCACTGGTTCAGCAGGGCCATGGCCAAGTTGCCACCTGCTCCCGGTGCCTGGGATAGCCACCAATGGCCATGCTCCTGGACACTGGCCCCCAGGCCTAGCCCTGCCTTGCAGAGAAGCCCACTCTATGCCTGGGGAAGGGTGGAGGCATATGCTGCTGGCAGTGTCCCCCTCCAAGGGCCTCACACACAGAGCAAGGTGTCCCCTGTGGCTCTGGGGCTGTGTTCACCGCTGGCTGAACACAGATGACTCCACTGGGACATGCCATCTCCACCTGTGCACACGCTTCCCAGACCCCTCACAGAGCCAGCTTTTGGAATCACACTGGTAGAGACTCCAGACAGCAGGGGGCAGCAGTGGTTTGTATAAGCAGCTGGTCGGCCACCATGCCCGGTGGGATCCTATCTGCCCGCCGTGGTCTGCACCCGGTCTCCCTGAGAGGAAGGAAGGGTGGTGGGAGAGGCAGCCCATCACCCCTGCCTCTGTCCCGTTGATGCCCTCAGACTCCTGGCTCTGGGAGAACCAGGACAATGAGCAGTCCCTTGCCAGCTCAAAGACAAAATCCTAAGCGGGGCACCTGGACAGGGGAAGCCCCCAAAGCACACTTCTCCCAGACCACCTGCCTCAGCATCACCTGAGGGGTGGAGAACACACTCCAGAGCCTCCCAGAGGCACGGAGCTGCCTGTCCTGTTAGATGCTCCCTGGCAGGCGTGACATCACCATAGCAGAAGCACACTGTTAGCACTGCACCCTAGCAGGTGCCGGACAGGGGCTGGGCAGGGACTGAAGAGCAAGGCAGGATCTGGAAAGACTTCCATCCAAGGGAACTGGGGTGGAGCTGTATGAATCCCTGCAATTCAGCTCCTCCTTTACCCCATTCTGGTGCTCATCCATTGCACACTTGAGCACACAAGACCCTGGCCCTCCACTGAACCCGGAATACACTGCACAAAGCAGCTGGATGACAGGTGCACCAATGACCAAGGGAGCACGAACTAAGGTTGGTCCTGGAAGGACAGCAGCACATTCTCAGAGAGTGGAGAGCGTGGCCTGAAGGCTGAGAGGTTAGGGGGCAATCTTGACCTGAGAGGACAGGGAGGAAGAGGGTCCTGAGTGTCCTGAAAAGGTCCCGATATTCCAGTTGCTCCAAATTGAACTCCAACCCCCAGATGGTCCAAGGAAGTCAGAGCAGACCTGGCATCCCAGCTCAAGTCTGAAATGCTGGACCTCACCTGCACTGTCAGATGGCCATGGAAGGGCACTGCTTTCCTGGGGCAGAGCCAAGCCTCTCCAGTGTGCCAGGTATTTTAGGGTGCTCTCCCTGCAACCTCAATTCCATCTGATTCCTTAATCCCCTTTGGCCTTGGAGCTGCGTGTGTTCCACAGGTGTGACCAGTGAGGCCCGGGCATCCTCAGGAGCCATGCTTCTGCCTGCCAGAACCAGGTTTAGGTGGAAACAGCCCGCAGCTGCAGCTCAGCTGGGGCAGGTGGGGTCCATTTACGTTCGTCAGAATTGCCGGTACACCTGGGACTGTTGCTGCACCCTTACTTGTTTATTTTTAAATCCTGCTCTACCACAATTCGTTTTTACTCTCCCGGTTTCTTTGAGATCCATTTTTCAGCTCTCTCCTTATTTTCGGAATTACGTGTGCTGTTTTTACTGTGGTTGCTCTAACTCAGTCCTGCACACGCTAATTCACCTCCCTCCCTCGCTGGCAGGGACCTGGGCATTGTCTCCCCTCATCCCTTGCCTTATCAGCGTTTTGTTAGTCTTGGTTGCTTTTGCTCTGTCAGTTAGATGTTTTTATTCTTGCTCTTTGCCATCTGGGTCTCTGTGGGACTCACTCTGCTGAATGACCCGGCCCCAAATCTGTTTAGGATCCATTAGATTTTTGCTCACCCGCATATCCATCGAGGGTGTATATCTGTCCCTCTGGGGTATGTGCCTTGACTTTGGGATGTGCACTTGTCATTCTGGGGTGGGCGTCTGTCCCCCTGGGGTGTGGCTCCATCTCTAAAGACACTTTTCTCTTTGAAAGACTGTGGTGATATGAGGTCCTATGACTTCTTGCTACAGCAAGAGAGATCTCCCCGCCCCACCTGTCCCCTGCAGGCAGCGCTCCGCCCCCCCTCAAAGCGGGCACTCATTCAAGTCACCACTCCAGCTCAGTCCCTGTTCTGTCACCTGGAGGTTTCATACCATGCAGAACTCTTCTCAGGGTACTTACACTTGCAGCAGTGCGATTTTCTGTTTCCTGTCTTTCCTTGTCTTTTCCTCTCTCATCCATCTTTAGCTGTGTTATTGCTTTCTTCTTTGGTTTGGGGGCA